TCAGTTTAATACGTCGCGGGCTTGCTCGCGTCCCGATTCCTCGGTATTTTGGGAAGCGGGGCGTGACAGGTTTTAGTGGTGGCCCATGCAGGTCACGGTCCCGAATCCTCACTAGTAAGATTATGGTAGACAATTTAGATACATATCATATTTCATCCGTAAGACTACAATTAAGTTCTTATATTATTATTTTAGACTATAATTAATTTCTTATACTATTTTTTAATAACTATGTTTTAGTTCCTATTTTCCAAATATATTATTTGATTTTAACCTTAATTTTCCTTTTGATCCTCGTTCCTTCAGAATCATGGTGGGTACTCGTAGTAACGATAACCCGTCTAGTAGCAGTGCCCCACAGTCCGAAGTGGATCCAAACCAACTTCTGGCGATGATTCAGGGACTGGCGACGAACCAGCAGCACTTGGCGGGACAGCTTCATAGGGAGCCGCAGCCCCAGCCTCCCCCTCGTCCAGAGTCTAGCGTCAGGGAGTTCCGGTATATGCGGCCTCCTTCCTTCTCCGGTGCCGAAGGACCTTTAGCAGCAGAGGAGTTTCTCAAGGTCACGGAGACTATTCTCACGGTGACCCGCATCCCCCATGCTGAATGGGTGGACCTCATGGATATTCAGCTCACCGACACCGCTCGGATTTGGTGGACTGCAGAGAAGACTCATTTGGAGAGGCCCATCTCGTGGGATACCTTCACAGACCGTTTCAACAGGAAGTACTTCCCTCAGTCAGCTCGGGACGAGCTTTTGCGAAGATTTGTGGAGCTCAAGCAAGGAGGGCGAACAGTTGATGAGTATGAGGCCGAGTTTTCTTCTCTGAGCCGATACGCTCCACACTTGGTTACAGACCCGACGATCAGGAGGCATCAGTTTCAGAAGGGCCTGGATAAGTATATCAGGTTTGCTCTAGCTGGTAGAGCACTTGCGACCCACGACGCCGTGTTGGATGCAGCACGCGAGATCGAGAGCGTTCAGAAGGAACCTGAGGACCCGCACATGATTCAGAGCAGGACGCCAACGGCTCCAGTCCGGAATACCGAACGTTCACCTTCGAGGCAGCAGCAGAACCCGCAGAGGCAGCAGTATTCTCAGCGTCAGCCATTTCATCAGGCTCACCCTTATCAGCATCCTGGAGTGCAGTCTCAGAGCCAGTCTTCGGTGAGGTGTTCTTATTGTAGATACCCTGGGCATACCGAGCAGGAGTGTCGCAGGCGTCATCATCTGTGCTATGCTTGTGGATCCTCCGACCATATTAGTCGAGACTGTCCACAGCGACAGCAGGCCCGCTTAGGTGTTCTTATTGTAGATACCCTGGGCATACCGAGCAGGAGTGTCGCAGGCGTCATCATCTGTGCTATGCTTGTGGATCCTCCGACCATATTAGTCGAGACTGTCCACAGCGACAGCAGGCCCGCTTACCCCCACCACCAGTTCGAGCGGCTCTTCCAGCTCCACCTCGATCAGACTTAGCAGCTCCAGCTCAGCACGGACCTTATCCTCGAGCAGGGCCTCTTCCTCAACAACAGCAGATTTATCAGGAAGCGCGAAGGCAGCAACCACCTCGACGACAGATGTTCACGATGTCAGCTGTGGAAGCAGAGGAGAACAACCAAGTTATCACCGGTGAGAATAGTTATTCTTAATTTTATTTGCGTATGAACTTTCTTATTTCGCATTGCATTATGATAATATGATAAGATTTATTTATGAGTGCTAGTTTAGATGTATTTTCCTTCAACACTAGATAAGGTTCTTGTTTCTTCCGTTATTGCCTTATCACCCATTGACTCTGGAGCTTCTCATTATTTCTTGTCTCGTTGATTTACGAGTACCAACTATCGTTCCATATCTGTCCTTGGGTTTAATTCCGAGGACGGAATTTGTTTTAAGGGGGGTAGGATGTAACAACCGTAAATTTTGATATGTATTTAAATAATTTTTTCTAGTATTTATAATATTATATTATATTTTATTAATACTTTTCCTAATTTCTAGAAATTTTCTGAGTTTCAAAATAAATAAATAAAATATATAGTCTTGTATTTATTATTTTTACTAAATATTAATTTATGATTTAGTGAATTTTTCATATCATTTGGTCACTATATCAATCTATATTATTATTATTAATGTATTCTGAGATAGATTAGCATATAAATATAAATATAATTTAGTTATTAAATATTTATTATATTATTTATTAACATAATATTTATTCAGACATATTATATAAAAATTTTTTCGAATTATTTTGCCCTACTCTTATTTCCTCTAATTTGAATTTGAATCCGCTTCAAATTCTGCGCCAATCAGATTCCTAATCACGTTCTAATCAAGTTTATTCTCAATACCAATACTGCCCATTGATTTTCGCGTGATTCTCTCTCCAATAATAATCTCAAATCCAGCCTTTCTCTCTCGCATCTCTCTCTCTCCTCTATCTTCTTCTCTTTCGTACTCTGCTCTCTGCTTACTGTCATTTATTCTTTCCCCTCAACTCCAGGAAAATATCCAAACGAAATCAACCGCCAGCCACCGGACACCGCGCGCTCCGCGCTGATCCCCGCCGCCGCGACCACCGCCGCCTCAGCCCCTGACCCACCTCGGCCACAGGCCCGCGCACGCTACGCAGTCCCCTCCGCTGTCCGACCGCCTTCAAACCGGCGCAAAACCACCGCCGTCCCTGCGCCCGCGCAGGCCCTGACCGGCGGCCCGACATCCCATCACTGCCTCCAAGGCCGAAGGATGCCGGCCGCCCCCTGACCTCGCCGCACCCTCAGCCACGCGCTTGACACTACTGTCCACACACCTGCTGTGACGCGCTATAGGGCCGCCTCCTGTTGCACGCGCGCGCCGCCGTCCAGACGCCGCACCGCCTCAGCGTTGCAGCCGCGCAGCCCGCGACCCGCCCGCCCCGCCAAAATTTTTCCGCGCTCCTCCTCCGGCAAGCGTTCGGCCCTCCGCCAGCCATCCTTAGAGCGACCGCCAGCCAGATCGCGGCCGCCTGCAGCTCGCCTCCTCGCCTCCAGCCCCTCCGTCGAGCGCTCGTTCGCGCTGCGTGCACCCGAGCTCTGACGCCGGCCGGCGGCAGACACCGGCCCAGTTCGCGCCGCGTCGCCTTCAGACCGTCGTCAGTCGCCGCATTAGCCGAGTGCGCCGACCCCCGCTTCTCACGTCGATCGCGGATTCTGCCATCGAGGCAAGATCCTGCTTGCCTCAGAACTATTTTTGATTATTATGAAATTCAATCTGCATATTAGATCTCGTTAATTAGTTATGCTGGCGTGGGTTGATGAATAATTTTGAATGGATAGTATTATGGGATTAAAATAGTAATTTTCAGGAACAAAATATAATAAATTAAAGAGTTATTTTGAATAATAAAATTATTATTATATTTTTGAATTTATGTTGTGGAAAAAATATATTTTAGAATGATGAAATGTTTTCAAAGAAGTTATTTTGGTAAAAGTTTATATTTGTGTTATGAAACGCTGTGATTGATAGTTGTAGACACGAACATTTATGTAGCATTGACACCACACATGTGACGCTCTTATTTATACTCATTCATTGTCATATATGGCTATACTGATTCATCGCCTAGTCTATATAGTCACTGTTCATAATATGCATTTGGCGATAAAATAATTATGATTTGATTTATTATTCTTGTTTTGTTGATAACCGTTACATAGTTCATGCTTTTTAGTGGCGCTAGCGTGTGCGTGTATAGGAGCGTAGAATACTGTGTTTTGTTGACTTAGAGAAAGCGTAGAAGAGTTGAGATGGGGAATTCTTGGTTTAAGTGATCGATGGTATTGTGATTATTTCCAGGCTCCCTCGCACACAGAAATTCCTGTGTAGCGTTGTGGGTGGTGTCTGAGGTGATGCTGATATTAGCTTGTTATGTATTTCCAGGCTCGCCAGGCGCAATTGAAATTCCTGTGTAGCACTGGGTGAGTGCTGAGGGGGGCGTAGTGAATCGTGTACGTGTGGGATGATTTCCGTAACACCGGTCTTATTCGGTGAATAGTGAGTTTTGACTATACGTGACAGGTAGACCAGTGAGTTGTGATAGGATGGCTAGTTGTGTTCTTTTCATACATAGATTGGGGTTAATATTTAATTATCTACAATTTGAGACATATGGTATATACATGAGGGTTTCCTTGTTTGGATTATTTCGCTCGACGTACTACGTCTCTTGTTGTAGATTCTTAATATTAATTCCATCTATTGTATGATCTTATTGTTTGGATGGTTTCTGATTACTACCTGCATGATCTTGTCACTTGGTTGATTTTTGGATTCGTCTGATTATTAGTATTCCAGTTGCACGCCTCTATTGTTATTACTATCATCACATGTTCTATTTCTATTTCTGTTATAGCATTGACCATACATATATTATCATTATCGTTATTGTATTTGTTCCTGCATTGGGGGATCTTGCCGTGTGTTTCACACGCTGACGTACTCCTATTTTCTGGGTGTACGTCAGATTTAGGAGATGAGCAGCCTCAGTACGGGATCGTACAGGAGCCAGAAGATTCTTAGCAGGGGTGTCTTGCAGAAGGAGTAGAAGATCCAGCTGAAGCATAGTGATTTTCTTCCGTAGTAGTAGTTGGACATTAAACTCTTTTACCGTACTTTTCTTTAGTTGATGTTGGACTTAGTATTTTAACAGTATTTTCTTTATGGACTATGTATTTCTTATTTCCTAGTTGGACTATTTTGTAATAAGGGTATGTTGGACCCATATTTTATGTCTGGGATGATTGATGTGTATCTTTTGGTTCTGAGTTGTTTATTATATTCTCATATGTGTGATCGGGGACCTGTGACTTCGTTTGTATTTCTTGACGCTTAGCGTATTAGATTGAGAAGACGGGGTCTAGCACTTATCTCTTCTCAGTTTAATACGTCGCGGGCTTGCTCGCGTCCCGATTCCTCGGTATTTTGGGAAGCGGGGCGTGACACTCCTTTTGCGGCCAGAAATCTCTGCATAAAAGTATTGGCCGTACTAGCTGTTTCTCCTAAGGGATACCCCAGTGAGAACAAGCAGGGCTCCAAAGCGGACACTTGTCGATTGTAACCTACAATGTGTACGCCTGTGTAGGTCAAAGCCCCGATAGCTACTCCATCTTTCTCCCGGACAAGGTCCCAATCCATATGTCGAGGGACGGAAGCACACTGATAGTAAGAGATAGGAAACATCCTGTGCATATCAAGGAGAAAGAAGCGGCGATCTCCTATTTGCCTCAACCACTTATAGTGGCCGCCAGTTACGATTTCTTTTTTGATGATGACATGATCACCAAACAGGAATGCTGGTTTAGTAAGTTTTTTACGAGAGTCGGTTTCGAATTTGGCGTCTGTCACCAAAATCCTGAGTACAGCTGGGCTTGGATTGGAAATCAGGGTAATATGATCCTTGTCTACATCCTAAAAAATTGGGAGTTCCTGGCGCAGATTGAATTGCATATTGAAATCGACACCGCCTCCACGCCCGAAATGGTGACGAAGAGTAAGAGGTTCGCGGGAGTAGGGCACTGCAAAAAAGAGAAAAGTACTCAGTTAGTCAATGAGGAAATAAAAACAAAAGGGAACTTTAATCAAATCTCTAGAAAGAGAGAAAGCTTTCAAGCGCACAGTTCAAATACGGCGTTCAAAAGCTTATTAACGCAGAGGTCGAACTCTGCGTCAAGCTTCCAAACGTACAGTTCAGATCTTGCATTAAAAGTTTATCAACGCAGAGGTCGAACTCTGCGTTAAATGCCCAAACGCACAGTAAAGACTTAGCATTAAAGTTTGTCAATGCAGAGTTCGAACTCTGTGTTAAATTTCCCAACGCACAGTTCAGATCTGGCGTTAAAAATTTGTTAACGCAAGGGTCAGGCCTCAACGTTTCAAATTCAAAACGCAAAGCCCCAACTTTGCATTACAGAATCAAAACGAGTCGTCTTCCTCGTTCACAAGAACCCATCTAGGGTTTTCAAAGAACTCACCGAAGCAAGTTTGGTGGCCGTGGAGTTTGGTACTTACCACCGACGAGGGAAGCCTGTGACGGCGGCGTTGTGGAGGCGTGGAGCAGCTTTCTTCTTGGAACCCATGGAAGAGGGTTGGAGATGATGAACAGGATCACCGACGTCGAAAACGAAGAGGCTTCGTTAAAAATCTTCCGAAAGAGAGGAGGCAAAAAGTCGGGTGACTTTTGATTTGACCCTTAGCGGTCTATTTATAGACAGCTATGAGCTGTCAAATCGGGGCGAGATTCTAGGCCCAGAATCCCGCCAAACGTGGCCTGTGCGTCAGCGTTGCTTAAACTTCCGAACGCAGAGTTCAACCCTGCGTTTTAATGTTTTAGCACAAAGAAATCTACCTATGCGTCTGCATTGTTTGAACTTCTGAACGTAGGATTCAACTCTGCGTTTCTATTCTATGACACAGGAAATCTACCTGTGCGTGCTAACTCAACCAAATGAATTCTTTGATGCTCAAAGCCAAAACATATGTTCAAATAAATAGAGAGGGATTAATGTCAGCTATCGAGATGACCAAAGCTGAGAAGAAACAGACGACTCCACTGTGGAGTCTATTGGATGGGTACAGGCAGATTATAATCAGCAATACGAAGGCCGATTCGACCCAGCGCGCAAACCATCCTCCTAAGTGGCTTAACATTCCAACAACCAGGTTCGCAATATTCTCAAATCTGATGAAGTGAACAATCAATTAAATTTTTGGGATCCAAAGTATTCCGAAAATTCGTTCCAGTCAACCGCGAACTTTCAAAAACTTTGGAGGGGGTTCTGTAGGCTGTCTAAAAATCACAATGGATAGCTAATCCCTATTAAACCCCGACAATAAAAGTTACAATCAGACGACTTTCTAATCACTACATCCGTAACTCTACAATAGCTACAAATACGACCTCATCTCTGAGATGATTGATCTTGATGGCTGCGACAACAACATGCCTAATATTATATTAGCAACTATTAGAGATGCTGATGAGCAGTGTAATGATTTCAGAAATAAAAGGTTGGACTTAGTTGGTGAGTTGCTTGGTAGAAAGCTGTGGGCAAATATTCGTCTAAAAGTCACTATGGATGATTGATTCCCATCAAGCTTCAATAATGAAAGCTACAATCAAATAGCTTTCGTGCTGACAAATGAAGGTTGCAAATAAAGGACTTTTCACACAGATCGAGAAGAGTTACAATTCAACGATGCTTCCGACAGCTGATGAAAATTCTATTCAGTGACCTTCACAATCAATAGTGAGAGTTACAATCTGACGACTCTCATATCCTATAACAGGCAAAGATCAATAAGCAGTAGCCTTTGCAGTGTTATAATGGACGAGGTTATAAGTCAACAACCTCTCTCAAACGCAGAACTCACTTCTGCGTTTCTCAGATTCAAAACGCAAGGTCCACATCTGCGTTTTCCAAATTCAGAACGCAGACGAACTGTGCGTTCTCAAACGGACTTCCAACTCTGCAACGCAGAGTTAAAACACAAAACGCACGAACTGTGCGTTCTTCGGCAAACACTCAACACTGCGTCCCGAATCCAGGATGCAGAGTTGAGAACTTGACACACGAGCGGCCTGTGCGTCTCAAATCTCTAACAGAGATTTAACTCTGCGTCTCAAGCCTTGGACGCAGAGTTAAGGTCCAGAACGCCAACTGGGGCGTTTTGACTTGTTCAAACACAAGCCGAACGGCCTCAAAACCGTTATCCCACGTTCTGAGGGATTTTCGCCCACTTAGGAGTAGATTTAGGGGTTGGTTACACCCCTTATCCCCCTATAAATAACCGACTTACTCAACTGAGACGGGTGCTGGCATCAAAACCTCTTAAGGTTAGTAAATCTCAGCAGCTAAACCGCACGGAGGAGGAAATCTCTCTGAATATCAACAAACTACTCAGTAGTTGGCAGATCAAATCTGGGGAGATCCCTTTATCAACGGAATTAACTTGGCTATTAACCGAATCTTCGGTTCTAACAACTTGGTTACAGAGTTTCAAGTCACTCTGAGTTCTGAAACTTATTTAAGAGTTCGTAATTAAGCTTGCAACGCAAGTTAATCGTTCCAGTGAATCAAGACGGTCGGATCGTCAACGAAGAGCAAGTTCGACACAAGCAATCGAAGGAGGCACTCCATCGCTACCAAGAAGAACCCAGTTTTAAACAAAGGGGAGAATAAAATTCATTCTCCTCTCTTTTGTAATCGGAATCCAAATTGTAATTGATTTTGAGAGAATACAAGTTAATTTTTCTTTCATTATGTTTTTACTGCAAATTTCCAACAAACAGACAGCTATCAAGATTGTTTAATCTATGACATTACTCACGGGAACTTATATGCAAATCAAATTATTTAAGTGTTTTGCTTCCTTGAGGACATCGCACGCGGCATTTCACGGCTTGAGCACGACTCCATCTTTCCAATTAGTTCTAACTCATGTTAGGTCTAACTGGGTTTATGTTAGTTCTAACTCAGTTCCTGTTAGTTCTAACTCAGTTCTTGTTAGTTCTAAATTAGAACACTAACTATTTAGAGCTAACATGAACTGATTTAGAACTAACACGAACACGAAATCCAAGCGAAGATAAGAATACCAACATCAAATTTTAGCATCAAATTCCTGCAAGTTAAGGCATTCAACATTTCTTCAGGAAGAATACTCCATGACAAAATACAAGCAAAGATAAGAATACCAACATCAAATTTATCAAAAAAAGCTTCGCCATCTCCTTCCTCAGCTCCAGCATCAAGATCAGCTCTTAAAATTTCAAACCCAACAGGCATCTCTTCGTCATCTTGACTAACAATCTCCTTAACAAGCAGTGGCTTCTCATCAAATTCCCAAAAAAAAAAGAGTGGCCTTGTGCCTGCAGCCCCTTCATTTTTACTTTTCTTGGGCATCATGCACTCTTTTCTCTTGGTCATCCTTCTCCGGCCTACCATACTATAGGGTTCAAAAGTGGCAGGCGCAGCGGCGAACTCCGGCGTAGTCGAGGACGAGACGGGGAGCGGCGGCGAGCTACGGCGACGAGGTCGGGCGGAGGAAAGGAGGGGAGAGAGAGAGAGAGAGAGAGAGAGAGAGAGAGAGAGAGAGAGAGAATTGGGTTTGAAGGATTGAGGAGAGGGGATAAGATTATTTTGGGGATTTGAACTTAGCTGGCATGTAATAATTGCTAAAAAAGGCCTGCAACACAAAATGTCACACTTAAAGGGGCTGAACCACATGGGGGAAATTACGAGGGGCTGCAGCACATGAAGTTTCTGTTTTTGGGGTCTGGACACATTTTTCCAAAAATAAATCCGATAGAAAAAGAATTTTTGTCCTGGAAGTCAAACGCAGGGGCAAAATAAAACATATCCTCCAAATTTTGTAAAAGACAAATTTGCCCTTAATTCCGGTTTAAGGACCACCGTACCATAATCTTTAGCGGAAAAAGTATCTAATTTTATCGATTATGACTAAAAAGGACGCGGCCGAAGACTAATGACAAGGAGATCAAGCCGTATCTTCGGTCCCGTTCATTCCAACATCTCTGGACGAAAATCTGGTG